TATCTTATACTACAGCGGTAGCCCAAGTCTTATAAAAATTACACTAAGTCCATCAGCTCTTGTCTCGCGGTATCATACTACATCAAACTTATCATCAGTTTTAAGAGCATTGTATGATATACTTCGCGGCTTGTCACTGTTCATGCTACTTCCCTCAGGGCCGCTCCTAATAGAATCCAGCTGATCCGGACCTGAAGAGACTATTGTCGTCTGCGCACCTATCCTCAAAGTGTTAAGGGGATACGAGGCTGTCGTGAGGATATCATCAGGACTTCGAACCGTGCCGGGCCTTACCGCCCATTCATGCGTTGTCTGCTGCTGGAAGGTCTCAATAGCCACGTCCAGCGTTGACCGCAAGCACACGAGAGTGATGATCAGCGTGGGATAGATGGCCTGCCAGTAAATGTACTAGTTAGGCACGAGATCGGGGGAACGATCGGCATCATACCGTCAGCTGCGAGAGGATATCTATGACAGGGTAGATCCCGTTGGTCCCACACGCAAAAGTGACAATAGCCACAAACTGTTTGCTTCGCTTAAACTGGCTTCTGGATTTCGAACAAAATAAAACACACATACCCACGTACAAGAATAGAAGACGCCAGACTCGATTAGAATAGCGAGGATGCCATTTTGCCTTCGGAATCTTGTCATGACCGTCTCCCCCGTAATAGAACGGATAAATTTGTTATGAGACCTTGACACAGACGTAAACTCGGAGAAAATTTGAGCAGGTAAGAAGTATACCATGTGCGGTAAGCAACGAGTGACGTCGCCCAGAGGTTTGTTGTCAGCGTCGAGCTGATGAACGCAATGGCCCAAGTGCTTAGAGTGGGATTATCAAAGACAGTGATCCCCGGAGGAGCCATCGTGTATGCCCGGATGATCCCAACAGCAGCGGCTCCAAGTTGGCTCATCATCAGGGCGACATGTGGACGAGGAGCGGAGCTTGTGCTCACCAAGTGTTCCCGTGAGAAGGGTACCAGAAGTAAAGATCACCCACCATTTCCGACCCCACAATATCCAGGCCCTCCATATAACGATTCCATCCCCGATAATTATCTACAGACATCCTTAACGATTTCTGATAAGATAGCAGAGCGAGGCGTACGTTGACTGCTTCCAGTGAGATCTGAGAATATATGTTCGGCGACGCGTTATCTTCCCAGACCGTGGGATCATCTGCAGCGTGTCGAAAGAGAAACGCATGAAAGTTTTGTTCGAAGCTGATCGCCATATGTGAGGTCGCTACTACCCACATTATGATGTTCAGCACGGTCATCACGATAATAACTGTGGTTCTCTTTCTTTTGAACCTATCAATGGAATTATCAACATGAACACGAAATACGAGTAGGGAACCCACAGTAGCAGATACATCGACACTAGCCAGAGGGCTGTGTACACTCCTGCCAGATGTTCTTTTATGAAGGACTTCTCGCGCAGATACGACTGACAAAACATACCATGCAAAAAGATTTCACACCCGAGAGCGATGAAGTACGCTTCTGCGAGCGATATTGACATCTGGACAAGCTATTGGTGGGCGGCGCGGAGGTAGGGACCCCTTGCAGTGAAAGCTTGTACAGCATGTTATAAGCGGATCCCTTCTTCGTGACAGAGGCACTGGCAGGTGTGGCAGGTGGAATTGAAGTCAATTGGACGCCGGATCTGGTAATAGGAAGACTCGACCATGAACAATGTAATTCATGATGAATCAATGACCGGCGCCAAAGATGGGTCCTACAGGCCTCGGTATCCGAATTTGATGTACTTTGAGGATCGTATGCTTTTTCAAAAATTGCGTTCCCGGACCTGCCAGTTGGCTCCTCTCAAAGATGGATGCGGAGGATAGAGTCAGAGGGGCTGACCCAGTATTGGAGCGCTGCAATCGCGAACTTTTACCGGAGACGAAGACTACCCATGTCATTTTTCATGGTTCGCGAAATTCTGATCTTCTGATCTTCCATGCATCAAAGTCCTTGATTGCCTACAGGCTCTGACATGGATAGCAACAGGCTGTAGCAGACCAAAAAGATTGTTTGACCCCCAACTCTTTTTCGATCGAGATTTGGGACGCAAAGATGCTTTCGTTGCTTTCGCTGATCTAACAAGTATTATGCATTCCGTCCTACCTTCAGTGAACGCGCCGCATCGAGAGGAGACGCCGATGATGCTTGACTAGCAACCAAACAAGTATTCGGAGCGATTAAAGATCTATGAATCTATCGGTGCCGCTTTCACGCTGAAAGCGACGTGTAGTTCGGCGGAATGGCTTGAATCAAGTAGTCGTTAAAAGGCGGTCAGCCGCCTTGCCGCCTGACGAGGTCTGATATTGGAGCTCCGCGCTACGGCGTATTATTCGGCCCGACCAGCTGAGCCGAAATTCGGCATGTCCGGGACTGGGCAATAACTCTAGTTTGGCGATGCTTCAAGTATGTTTCCGGTTTGCCTCCGTACCACCATTTGTCGTTCATTCTCCACTATCACTACCCTCAAATCTGCGTCTGTCTACCGCACTGTACACGTGAGCAATGTTCCAGAGGGATACAATGTCAATGCTGTCGTCAAAACTCTCAAGGCCAACCCAGTGCAGGGGATAACACCTTTCAAGGACCATATGCTCGTTCAATATTTGGACGAAGGCATGGCCAGGCGGTGTATCTACCACAGTAACTGTATTTACAAGCTATCCCTCGATATGCCTTCGCCAGCTGTGACATCCCGTGATGTCGCTCTACTTGGGATGTACAACCTGTCTCGTACTCTCGTCCTGAAGAACTTGCCATCACACTTGGACGAGACAAAATTGGCCGAAATTCTATCCCAGCAAGAGGGGATCGATGCTTGGAGATTCCACCCCTCAGAAAACGGTGCCGTGGCTCATTTCTTGGATATACACAGCGCGTTCGAAGTGCGTCTACTATTTCTTGTCTACCATGTAGATCCTAATTGCCCATATATAGGCACGTACAGAATGCCAAAAGGCAGGGATGTCTGCCACATTTCCCCATACGCGGAGCGACTATCTCTTTCCTGAATGGTTTCCTGAGGAAGAGGACGGCCGGGCCTTTGTGGAGACCCGCGTAGAGATTTCTGGTATCAAAGACTTCCCCACTCTCCTTGTTGTGCGGGATTGGACATCCAAGTTTGAGCAATCCAGCCCTGCTTGTTTGATCTTTACCAGTTTTTACAAGCAACGAAAAGTGAGCGCCATGGATATCTGTGTATCATGTTTTTTCATCTCCGTACCAGATGCTCACGATACAGTTCGCGACGACGGAATTGGCACGCAAATTTGTCGACGCTTCTGGCACGGATGCGCAAGTTCAAGGTATGCAGCTGTCGTTGGCGAAGATTCGGGATCCACTCTCTCGTGGCATGATCACCGCTGTCGGCCTGGGCGCGCAGCGAACAGTGTGCCTGGAACTTTTTAATAAAGGACCAGACTTGAGGAGAAAAGAAGAGTACTTTTACTTTTTCTGTCAGTTCGGTGCCGTCTCGGGGTCGTTCAGGTGTGGTTGCCGCTTCTTCGTTTAACTGTTCCCTACTTAAAATAGCTACCAGGAATGAGCGATACCACGAATGCAATAAACCACTGTTTATCCCATTCGACAGCTTACAGGGCGCTTTTCGTTGTGTCCTGAGCATGTCGCAGTTCAAAGCGGACATGCTCGACCATTTACCCGAGCTGAAGGGGGCTGCTATCTCCTTTGCGGGTACTAACCACTTGACACCGACTCCAGTGCCAGATTAGAAACTCGTGCGGATGAGACAGTTCGTCGTATCGAACGAACAGTTTGCTCTCCTGCCACTTCGATTTTTTCGGACGTGGCGACACCTTGATGTACTTGCGGGGAATGGCGGAGCCCTTCCATCGTTGTTATAGTCCCACATCGTCATGCTCAGCAGCAGGTTCACTCTGATCAAAAGTTTTCGCCGGCGGTAAATCATTGGTACTCCAGTCTGGATCAATACCTACACCAATCGAACATTTCCTATTATTTTTGAAGGCTGTCTGGGGAGAAACGTTTCCTATTCTCAACCATGACGATGTTTATGATGGTTCTCACGTCGTCGCGCTACCAAGATCACGGCATCCGCATCTTTTCCCATGCTATCCTTCCTTCCGTCATCTCAATACATACATAAGACCCGTGCCAGTTCATTTGCTTCTAAGCCCATCTAGCTCAACAGGTTAGAGCGTCAGAGACATAAACTGAGTCCTGTCACATGGGACATTCGGTTTAACGTCCATCGAAGGTCGAGTGTTCTATGTGACGGGCCTTAATGCTTCTGAAGATGTGAGTTCGAACCTCATGATGAGCGGCAATTGTGGTTTTGTGATGTTGTTTTTCAGCTGACTCGTCAAGATTCTTTGTTTATTCTTCAGTTGAAGAGAAATTTTACCCCAAAGCTCAAGCGCAATCCAACGATTAAAGTAATAACCCCTTCCAACGGACATCATACACAAACAATGTTTTCTTGTCAAGACGACTTGCCCCTCCGGGATCGCCTCGTATCACATACGGTGTGTACTTCTCGCGCCAGGAGAATTACATTCGGACGCTTATCTATCATGCTATTTGGCGTGATTGATGATTCGTCGCCTACGTGTGCCAAAGTGAGGAACTGTCCAGTTCTTCCGTGACTGATTAGAATGAACAGCGACTCCAGGCTAAGGCTAGTCTTTTCTCTCTCTTCGAAGTTCGGCTGTCTGTAACCATGCCTTTTGCAAGTCAAAGGTTGTCAATCAGTATTCGGACGATGCACCGAGACGCTCTTTTATCTTTGACGACAGAACTACCACGAAGATGCATATGATGCTTCTAACTCTTATAGAGCGATGGCGGCGGCTACGGACTTCATGCAAGTGACCGCTATCCTGGGATCGGCGCTTCGACGGCGCGGCGTTGCTTCATCATGCGGGTTACACATCTTTTCCCATGCCATCTTGCTTCTTCCATACATAAAACCCGTGTCCACTGACATCTTTCAATGCCCATCTAGCTCAACGGGATAGAGCATCAGAGATATAGATGGATAGTACACAATGTGAAAGACAGTTAATGTCCTTCCCATTGTGTGCTGTCTGATTCTTCTGACTGATGTGAGTTCGAGTCTCACGATGGGCGTCGAACAGAAAGCGTACCGAGTTGTGATCTTTTTGAGACTTATATTTATTTATGAACATAATTATACAGTATGTGAACAGGCCAGTTGGTATAATTTTTTTTATCGTTCTCAGATCATCTCAGAATGCCATCCTATCCACTATACATCTACCATTCAAGGACAGCTTCTCGAGGGCTGGGACTTTGCCAAGTATACTATTAGCATACCATTAACGACCTTATTTCAGATTTCTCCGGGAGCACTAGGGAGAGATGAGCACGCCGTAAGCACCGTCTTCAGGATTGTTAAGAATCTGACTAAATTGAGTAATACACAAGATAATGAATACTCGAGTGAAACCCAAGTTATAAGCGAGGATGTCCGAAAGCCGAGTTCCAACCACCAAGAGAGATCCGATATGGGTGTTAACAAGCGCTAGGCGTAATCAACAGGGCGTTAGCAAGCGCTATGCGTAACTAACAAGGTTTCCAACAAGCGCTAGGCGTAACCAATCAAAGATGCTTGAATCACACAGTTAAGTGGACGGTGAAGGGTGTCAAGAATTAGATTGATATTCTATAGTACAGACAGTGTTTATATACTAGAGGTTTCGAGTCATTATTGTTCTACAATTTTCCACTGTATTCTAGTGTCTGTAAGAAAAATAGAGAAAGTAAGAGAAGATACGAGCGAATCAGCTTTAAGGCCGAGAAGCCCGAATACAGGCATGTGTTGACTCATGGGTCGAGTCGGCAGGTACCCGATATCCATAACAAGGATCCTAATATGTCGGCGGTCGCATTATTGAACGTTCGAATATTCATCAACCGCGACTCGTATTTATTTGACTAGTTGTATTCCTGACAAGCTCAAATATCGTATGCACATAACTCGTTTATCGTTCACTGATTTTGCGGAACGTATGATGCTCGCCCATGATGGTTTCAGCTTCCAGGCAAGACGCGTTCTACACGTGATGACCATGTGATGCGAGCGAGGGCCGGACCAGTTTCTTAAGCTAGTGTCGAGGTGTTTCCGCTACCTGTTCGTCAGTTTCCCTGATGTCGTCTTTTACAATCTCCTGCATCTCGTACGAGGATTTCTTCACCAAGCCGCTTCTGTGCCGGCTGTTCCTTCGGTATTGTATTACTACCACAAGTCCGTAACCCATAGAAACGTCCTCAGGAAATAGTCTGGCTCAAAGGCCCGTGTGCCAAAAATAATCGTTGGTTGGAAGCGATGGGTACTAGTGCGAGACCTACATTGACATTCCCTATTGGCTAATACTATGCCTTCAAGAAAGGAATTGAAAAACAGAGGGAATCTGCCCACCTTACAGCTGAATATTAGGTCTCGTGTAGTTAACATGTAGCTGTACTTCATGTTCTGGATCAGACATAGCATCCTCGGGCTGTCTTGATACTATGCTATTCGTTTCCACCAATATATCATCCGGGAGTAGTGTTGGCTTGACTAAGTGCCTCAAGGACAACACTGTCCGGGAATCACCTTCGGCGCGCTCGAGAACTGGCTCGTTTGGGTACTTTTTTACACGTCCTTCAATCGGATTGACCCAGAGTGCAGAGATAACGTAACGTCGGGATCTTAATTTGCTAGATACAAACGGGACCGAGTCTGGCCCTTTCCAGTCCCCTCTGAAGAATAGTGCTTATTCTTGGTTATCTGTGGTGTACTCGAGATATGCCCGCCTAAGTCCCTGTAATATACGACACTACAGTCATTGTTACTACGCGGAGGAGCAATCACTCGCTGTTTTTTTTTCCGGACATTGCTGCCTTCTCGTCGTGACCCGAAGGAAATGTGCGACAAATCCCAGTGAGTACTACAGACTGGGGACGTCCGAGTTCGAGTCTGAACGCGTCGTAAAAAGCCAGGAGTCACTAGTACATATCCAGCTCACTATCATCCAAGTCGCCGTAAGAGCAGCGGCAACTCAGCTGGACGCCGTCTTTCTCATCCAATGCCGTAAACTGCCTTTTGATAACCTGCGTTATCCCGTCATCCGTAAGCCCGCGGTATGAATGGATCAGCTCGATTTCCAGAAGACGGAATCGAGGAAAGCGGGGACCGGAAAATAACGTGTCCAAAACCTTCCATAGGGTATGGGTTGCACAGTTATCGTTTGGATAGACGCGCAAAGTGAACTCCTCGAGTGTGAGCTGCTGCTCGTCGAGGGCGCATCTCCTTATCCCTTGCTCGAGTTCCTCCATGTCTGTATAACGGAAGTTTGGCAGTAGAAAGGTCGTGATGGAGAGGTGCGGGAGATCGAAGAGGTTGAAGTCGAGGATATCAAGGATATCACAGAAGTTTACTGTACACATTCGCTTGTCAGCGTATCGTAGAGAGAACAAACTTGCGTAACATACTCTGGGTATTGTAAATTAAGTGGAGGCCACCAAGCGTTTTGAGGGAGCCATTCAAGATCGTCTTCGCCCGATGAATGTCGTCTCTGTCCCATAAACTAAGGGCACACTGTCGCAAACAGAGAGAAGACACAACATCTTCCTGCTCGACCAGCTCCCGAAACGCGGCCATTCCCGTATAGTTGGTCGCATGGAGATAAAATCTCTCTAGATGTCTCAAGCTCTCGGCTCGACGTCCTAGAGCCATTCCTGGATTTCTTGCCTTATAATCCAAATTTTTAATCGCGAGCAAACGAAGGTTAGCGAACATAGCGAGGAGGCCGAAAAATGTCGCAGAGTCCTGCAATGTGACATTTATGAGCTGGAGCGATATGATGTTGTCTGCATGCAACCTCAGCGCTCTGAAGGCACCGTTTCCGGGAAATCCGGAAGACAGCTTGATGCGTCGCAGGTTGCGCATGGCTGCGAGAAGAGTATATATGGTATGATCTTCCTCGGCATCACGCCCATCTCCCGAACTCAATGCAACGGAGAGGATCATCGGCATGATTTCAGGAGACGGTTTGAAGACGCGATCGTGGAATGTAGTCCACGAGTGATGCTCATCGGAGGTCAAGGCGATCGAGGAAAAGAGGTGCTTTCTGCTCCGTGGCAGGAAAGAATGGCAAACGAGGGAGCAGCATGATAGATTATTATGGAGGTAGGGGGAGGGTAAGCTATTCTGGATTTCATCAATGACGGCGTCGATGATTTCCTGAGGAAAATGTGCCATTAGGCAAGTTCTTAAGATGCCTAGCAGGGCCGGAAGGTGAAAATTACGGACGGTGCACTTTGTGAGGACTTGCAGCGGCCCGGGAGTTGGTCTTAGATGTCGAGAGACCTTGGTAGTTAGAGGGGGGATCCTGAATCGGTGGCCAGCTGGAGGCTCGGAGGGCTTATAAGGGGTAGGCCAAGCGCATACTATGAACAAGAATGCCTAGCACCCAATGGCTCTCAGCGCGCCCATCTGAACCCCGGCGCTGGAAACGTGAAACGTAGGAAATAAGGGAGCAAAAAGATATAAATCAGTACTAACCCGAATGGAAGGTTCAAGGTACTGTGAAGTACTTACCAGTCAACGTAAATATCGGAATTAGCTTGTTTCGTAGACGGGAACCAATAGTAAGTGGAATTGCTCTATGCATTGCATATAAATAAGACAGGTATTATCAATGGTAAGCCTAGTAATCAGCCGATTGATACCAATCTGATTACCCCCCCCCACCTAAGCAGGTGTTTGTCGGTCCAAAAATGACAATTCCAATTCGCAGTGGACCCCTCGCCTTAGTAGAGCGCCCTTCAGCCCATGCCGGAATTTCAACCCTGCAAGACCGCCTTTCATACGAATTAGAGGAAGACCTTGAATATCGAGACTGTCACCAGTGAAGGTAACTTCCGTCAACGGCCGGTTCTCCATCTCAGTACAACGCGATTCCAGCATATCGAACAAAGCGTTGAGGTCTGTGTCGTTATAAACGTCCATCGAGAAGGTGGTCAATGAAGGGAGCAGGAGAGGACGACCCTCTTTAATAGTGAGATTCTCAAGAATGATACGGCTGTCAACGCTTGCAGAATTAACAGTACACTCGTGAGTCCAGGACAAGAGGAGCTCCTTCAGGGTAGGGATGGCCTCGAGAACCTGAATCATACGTGCGTCCAGAGGGACGGGATCGCGAACAGACAATATTTCCAGGGGACATTGCGACCGACGTAGGAACTCGGCGACTAATCGAAAGTTGATCGTCGTGATAACAAGAGCACGAAGCATGGGCAACGACAAATACTTGAGCAAGTTGACGCTCCTGTAACCGAGTTCCAAACGTTGGATATTAGTGAGCACCATCGTTGCGTCTGGGAGGAAACGGCTCCGGATCCTGATGCCCAAAGATAAAGCTTCGAGATTGGGCGCGCTTCGTAAAAGGCGGAAAGGATCGCTATCAATGCCTGGAACCCCCGAGGTGGTACATCCGGAGGTTAGGTCGCTGAATGTCCTGGTCTGCGGGGCCATCCCAAACTTCTGTTGAGAGAGCCACTTGTCGACAACAAGCTTCTGCGGGGGATGCTTTTACGTCTGGCCAGCGCCACATTCCACATGAAGATATCCCATCGGTGACTCTCAGTAACAAGCATCCTCATCAAATCAGTCGTATTCCGGTATAATAGCTTCACCTTCGGTATTGCCGATAATCCGAAGGCTCTGGTTCCCCGACCGCTCCAGCCAGAGGTTCAACACTTGAAGCCGAGCACGGCACTTGGTCGCAGGTCACTTCATCGATGGTGAGGTCGGACCAAATCTGAGGTAGAGACAAGCGATATGGTGCGCCACAGGTAGGAGACACGGCTGTGACTCCAAGGACCGCGGCGTGTATCGTGAACAATTGGGTAATCTTCAAGTTCACGCCATCCCGGGCGAGTGTGAAGGAGAATTTCGGTAATGATCTCTGCAGGAAGGCGGCGGAATGACCGACGTGATAGGTCGGTGGCACTTGATGAACTCTAGTAGTTCACGAATCTCGGAGTAATCTTCTTCTTCGTCAGATGCGGCTTCCTCATGGGCACTCCTCTGCCCCACGAGCATCTCCAAGTCCTCATCGTCC